AATCCAAACAATTTATTCTGATTATAAATGCTTATTTGTTACATTTTACACTTGATTAAATTTTTTTTTATAAGATTGATCAAGTTGATGAAATCTAATTTTCAGAGGATGGGACTTAACTTTATGCTGTAAATTAACTCTTATTATAAATAGATGAGAAAAAGTGTTATTTATTAATTATTCTTGTAAAATCCTAAAGTACAATTACTTGAATTGGTTGAATAATAAAGCAAAATCAAAAATAGTAGAATTCTAGCATTTAAGTGCTGGAATCAAGGAATTTTAGTATTAACAGATAAAGGATATTTCAAGTATCTTGAAGTTCAAAATAGTTAATAAATCCATAAAATTACAATATACGATGGAATTGGAGTTATTATGATTATGATAACATTGTTTTCAATAAAAGTAAATTATTTTTGATAAATTGATATGAATTTATGGATTCTTTTATTTATAAAATAATTTTAAGAATAAAGAGTGGTATATTATGAAATAGAAAAATAAGAAACCAATCTCTGAACTTTTGAAGCAAAAAAGAATAGCAGAGCAATAATCTTAACCTGTTTAATAGCCCCCTTCACCTCCATCTCGATCATCTTCATCATGCTCATCTAAAACATCCAATCCATATGAAGATAGTAGTGATGCTGAGGATTATGAGGATTACAAAAAAGATGGTTATCATCCTGTTAGTATTGGTGATAAATTTCATAATGGAAGATTTTAGGTGATTCAAAAATTAGGATGGGGGCATTTTTCAACAGTTTGGTTAGCACACGATAAATAATCTGAAACACATGTTGCATTGAAAATATAAAAAAGCAAATAGAGTTATCAAGAAAGTGCCATTGATGAATTAGAACTTTTGAAGTATTTCGTTTAAATTTATATAGGGATTTGTAGAAGCATTTGAAAGATGAAAAATGGATTTAGTATTAAGAGCAATTATCACAGATTCCAAAGTTGGATTACACGACTTTAAAGTGGTATGATCCAAATATCAAAAACACAGAGCAAGATATGGAGATTAAAGTGAAATTGAATGAAACATATTGTGTGGAAATGGTTGATAATTTTATTCATTATGGGATGCATGGAAAACATTACTGTACAGTTTTTGAAGTCTTAGGACCATCCTTATTAGATTTAATTATACACTTTGATGATTATGATAAAAGAATGGGTATGTGGTTAGTAAAATAAATTACAAGAGAACTCTTAATTGGATTAGTGTATATGCATGAAGTATGTAACATCATCCACACAGATTTGAAACCAGAAAATATTATGCTTTAGTTGAAATCATAAAATTTTGGAGAATTTGTAGAATAAATGAAAATGGTTAAAAAGAAACCAATAAGTATGAAATTCTTGGATACATTAAAAAAATCAATGAAGTCAACTAATAAAAAGTAGGAAAAAAGAAAAAAGTAGAAATAAAAGAAACTGTAATAGTAATAAGAAAAAGATTAGTAAGTTTAGAATGAATAATAATAAAGTGAATAACTTTAAGAATAAAAATTAAAGGATACATATAGTACCAAATTAAGAAACAAATAATATTACAATATAGCAATCTGTTTAAGTAAGATTAATAATAATAATAATAATGATGATGATGTTTATAATGGGGGCCCGGAGGATAATAATAATTAATAGTGTAAGAATGTGTAGATTAAAATTCAACAAATGTATAATCAACTTTAACTGATACAATTACAGAGGAAGATACTTAATAAATATAAATTATTGTATAATAGTTAAAGCTAAGTCGAAAAATAGGATAAAAGTGATAAAAATAATTTGGAATAAGAATAAAAAGAAGAAACTCATCATATACATAAACATAGAAATTTACAAAAAGAGAAAGAATAAAGCATTGAAGGATAAAAAGAAAAGTCATAGTAAAGAAGAAGAAGTTTCTTCAGATGAAGAGGATGATTAAGATTGGAAATCGGATGAGGAAAGTGAAGAATCAGAATCAAAGGAAGTAGATGAAGAGACCTTGTATACTTTGAAGTATTATACTATATTTATAATTAGATGGAAAGAGCATATTAAGATAAAGTTAGATCGAGATCTATCAATTAAAATTGTTGATTTTGGAAATGCTTGTTGGACTCATAAACATTTTACAGATAATATTCAAACGAGAGAATATAGTGCACCTGAAGCTATATTGGGGATAGAATATGATAAAAGAAAAGAAATTTGGAGTAATGATTGTATTGTTTTTGAATTACTTACAAATGACTTTCTATTCAGACATAAGGGGGGTAAAGGATTTGAGAGATAAGATGATAATTTTGATTTAGTGAAGGAGGTTTTAGGGA